AATAGAAACGAAGCTTTTGTTTCGTGTAGAATCTTGTGGTTACGTATGACCCGAATGTGTAATTTGACGTCATTCTATCAAAACGTGTAATTTTACGTGGTGAATAATAGTTGTACTGTGACGGTAAGGAATATAATTTGTGTTCTTACTCTTACAGAAGTAATGTAAAAGTGATTAAAATACGATTAAGACAAGACCAAAATATTAAGGTAACAGTGTAATAATTAATTATAAATTATAATTCTACTTGGTGTCCCTTGTAGCGTTGTTTGTTATACGAAATGACATTAGCCTCTCGTTATATATTTTATTGTTGGAGCACATTATGTAAAGTAGTTATATTCTGATATTAGAGAAATACAGTTATGCAGTAGTGACCTGGATTGTAGTCATGTGTTTCAACTTTCAAATTTTTGTTTAAGAACAGCTTTACAACAAGTGTGACCACTAATGGCTTACTTGATTCAGACATTACTTACAAGCATTAATCGCAAGAACTGTTCTGACAAAATAACTTGCTAATTGTGGGTCTTATTTACAGCGTCCAGCCAAACACACACAAATCCAGCTTACCTAAGGTACTGTAAAGCTACACATCTCTTTCTGACAATTAGTTGAGCATGATGTCATGATTCAGTATGAGCAGAATGGCCGAAGGCCTGCTTTCTGGGTTTAAAAATTGTCATCTCCCCAGTCCAATATGAAGTGTATTGTATAATTAACGTTTTATAGGTTTAAGGTTTCCACTTACAAATTTCTGAAGCATACATTCTATAGTAATGTACATGGGAATGTAAATTGTTACACAGTTTCAATGCAGTGAAATTTATGCCACAGACTTTACAGGAGGTGTGCATTTTGAATATTGGCTGGGACACTGACACTCCTGTCATGTTTTTCATGGTGTTCCTCGGCCCTTCCAGGCAAATTCAAGGATAGTTTCGCAAATTACGATATCAACCTTGCTTTCCAATTCATTATTCGCTAATCATTCCCATTGTTCAATGATAGATTGTTATGAAAGTTTTGGAGGAACCTGCTGCCACTATCCTCAGAATAGAAAAGTTTTCTTGCTGCTCATCAATATAAAAACTAAATAATAGTTTTGTAGATGTGTGGTATTGAAGTATGGAGTTTGTGCCCTGAATTAATTTTATTCTTTAAAAGTGTTAGGCTTTAGCAGTTTCTTTCTGTTGACATTTTAATCTGTAGGACTTTGTGATTAGTAGGAAATTCTGTTCATCTTCCATTAGATGCATTTCTTAATTTTTACAAGTTGATGCTTGGTCATCATGTAGTAATTATTTATCATTTGAAGTGCGATTATTCAGTATAATTTTTCTTTCGCTCCAAAAGTCTTGAATGTGAAGTGATGCATCATTACTCTGCCCCGGTTCATTAATATAGTTAGAAATTCTTATAATATTGTTACGTTTTGTGTGTGTCACGCGACAAATAAATTTACGTGGGTCTAGGATTCAGCGAATCTTTATTGGACACTCACACTTACACACTTTACAACCATTAACACCGGCAGTATTACAATCACTGCTTACACAATATCTCGGCCAATACATCTGTATCTCTTGGCGTCTAACCCGAGACTGTCTTCTTCTTGTCGAAGCTGGGCTATTTATACCTCGGCGGTTGCTATACAACTTACACACTTTACAACCATTAGCACTGGCAGTATTACAATCACTGCTTACACAATATCTCGGCCAGTACATCTGTATCTCTTGGCGTCTAACCCGAGACTGTCTTCTTCTTGTCGAAGCTGGGCTATTTATACCTCGGCGGTTGCTATACAACTTACACACTTTACAACCATTAGCACTGGCAGTATTACAATCACTGCTTACACAATATCTCGGCCAGTACATCTGTATCTCTTGGCGTCTAACCCGAGACTGTCTTCTTCTTGTCGAAGCTGGGCTATTTATACCTCGGCGGTTGCTATACAACTTACACACTTTACAACCATTAGCACTGGCAGTATTACAATCACTGCTTACACAATATCTCGGCCAGTACATCTGTATCTCTTGGCGTCTAACCCGAGACTGTCTTCTTCTTGTCGAAGCTGGGCTATTTATACCTCGGCGGTTGCTATACAACTTACACACTTTACAACCATTAGCACTGGCAGTATTACAATCACTGCTTACACAATATCTCGGCCAGTACATCTGTATCTCTTGGCGTCTAACCCGAGACTGTCTTCTTCTTGTCGAAGCTGGGCTATTTATACCTTGGCGGTTGCTATACAATGAGCCTTTGTTATAACCATGGAAACTCATCTCTATGCAATGCTCACTGTTAGAATTACAGTATTGCAATTGTTACTTCCTATGCAATGGTCTGTTCTAGTGTTTCCATAGAAGTGACTCTTCTGGATTCCAAACACGTTACAATATCTAATTGTTTGACACATGTTTCACTGCTGTGCTCTTCATTCACTGCTGTAATGTATTTAGTTCGTATTTATGTACATTTTTTTTTTTATCTGATGAAATTTAAACAGTCGACATTATTTTACAAATTGTGTCAACACATCTTTCATTAAGAGTTTTAAATTTATAAATGATATTAAATTTGCTGCCTTCTGGAATGTGACGCTGTGACATTGGTAGACCAGTGCTAATGTCTTAGTGGTACTTCCTCCAGCTTTGTTGTCTATTAGACTACATAGCAACACATCCCCACATCTTTCTAGTCACTGTCGTTAGGACCTAAAATCTGCTGTAAGAAGTTTCTTGATTTTTGGGATCTGCTTTATATTATAAAGGTAGCTTAAATTAAATATTCAAACAAATAAATAAAGATCTAGTTGTAGTTCGCAAACAGATAAAAATTAAATTTTTCATTCTTCATACACAGTCATGGAATATTCCACTGGATGAAAGCCCTGTTTTTATTTTCTTTATGGATTCCTTTCCAGATGCCTATCAGTTTGGTGGTATCACTGCCTGTAAACCACATGTGGTCGAACTGGATGCCCTTGAAGGTTAGTTAGCTTCACACCCATATTAATGAAAAGTGCTACATTAAATATATAGGTGTCTTGTGCCTTGAATTTGGTAAAAAGGTGAATGTGCCATCAAAAGCTTATTGTGAGAAAGTGCAAGTTGCAGCTGATTTTATTAACTTGCCACACCTATTGTTGGTAGCAGAGTACATTCACATTTGCTCACCACAGGAATTCATTGTATGTGGACATATCTTCTTATCTGGCGCTACAGCCCTTTGTGAGCCTTGGCCTGCTTGATAATAGCCTTCCAACTCTCCTGATGTGGACATGTATCTTGTCTTTATTGTTTATGGAATATTTATCTTGCACACAATGTTAGAAAGCAGTTGTTGAATGACAGGAAGGTTAGATTTTTCATGGAACCAAGGTAAATATGTTTCAAAGTTTATGTTCAATCATGAAAATTTATGAGAGCAAATATGGGAGAACAGCAGAACCGATCACTGTCTAGTATCTTCCACATATGAAGGTTGTTCGTATGAAACCCCGTTCGTATGTTCAGTCACAGATGTCAAGGATGCAGTAGTGCAGTGATACCAGCAGCAGTAGAGGGAATGGGACACCTACCACTTCACTCACAGGGTCTGATTTTAATGGTCTCTTCTTTGTTGCCCATATCAGTTCCTGAACAGGTTTCATTTGAACAACTGTCACTCAGATTTTAAATGTTACTGTTATTTTAAGGAGAGATCTGTGTGCACATTTTAAATGGTTTATGTAAAACTAATGTAAAGGTCCAGTTTATAACTGTCTGGACACCCCTGAAAACGGCCATACAGATAAGGCAAACACCGAAATAAAACTGCTGGTTCACCCACATAACCCAGAATCCGAGGCAACTACAGAAGAAAAGCAGAACACCTTTACAGCAGAGGAGAGCAGCAGATTCCTTCATCACAACAACCTGTACACCTGAAGATGGCTAGTTAGGCCGAAACCTTCATCATCATGGAGATTTGCATCTGAATCTTATCTCCATTCTTCACCATAGAGTTTATTTATTTACAACTGTGAAGGCCATGCCATAGCTCAAGCGGTTAGTCGCTGGCTTCCCACTGCAGTGGCCTGGGTTCAATCCTGGGTCTGGTCAAGTGGGATTTGTGATGTGACAAAGTGGCGCTGGGGTGGGTTTTCTCTGATTACTTCGGTTTTCCCTGCCAATCTTCATTCCACCAAATTCTCCATCATCATAATCACCTGGGGCAGGTACAATAGGTCAATCAGTGGCCGCCATGCCAAGTGGAGGTAATGAGGTAGCGAGTGTGTCAGTATTCTCCTTACAATTCAGACTTAACTCTCACTGTGTTTTTGGACTAACGAAGGAGTTGGTAGAAGGCCAGAATTTTGAACAATAATGAGCAGGTCCAGGTGCATGTCTCTGTTCAGCTAGGGTTAGCTCTTACATAGATGGAAACGAGAATGATGATTGTATAATGAAAGTAACACGTCAGAACTCCTCCATGAACTTCATAAGATACAAAATAAAATGTCCCAGAATTTATAGAATTATCATCATAAATGCAAGTTCATATGTATGCAGGTCATATTAATTATACATCCTTTCATACTTACAGGATGAAAATTAATTGTAAAACCAAAATACAGTTCATAATAAGTACAGTTTATATAATTAACTATTCCCATCTTTGGATAATATGGGGTAAGTACTAATGTAGTATAAGTGTTAAAATTGAATATTATTTCTGGGCTGTCCAACTTCAAAACACTGAGAGGCTTATTGTACCTCAAGTACATACCCACATTATAAAGGTATAGCTTTTCTGATATACTGATTCTAGTATCTACTCTGAAGTAATAAGATATGCGAAATGCGAACCCATGAAAAAGAATTGGACCTATAAGGCTGAAAAATATTTATTTAAATTTAATACAACAAACCCTTGTTATATGAGGGCAAGAGTCAGTAAGTAGGTCACAGATGGAAATAAAACAGCTGTAATGGATGTTACAGGTTTTCTGTGTGTGTCACTAGGTAGCAGCACAGTCCAGCTTCATGACAGTTTAGGTACAGACACACTTGCACCTGTACTGGGGCTGGTTTCAGTAGTCAAAATGGTGACCGTGCTAGGGGGGTATATTACAGAAGAGCAGCATTTTGTTTTGATTTTTTTATGAGTGCAGAAGGACTCAATACAAAGGATATTCATAAGGAAATGTTTCCTATATATAGTTGGAAGTGTTTGTTGCATAAAGCGGTTAACATCCATCTTGGTGGTAAATGTTTCGCTGATGAAGGACTCAATACAAAGGATATTCATAAGGAAATGTTTCCTGTGTATGGTTGGAAGTGTTTGCTGCATAAAGCGGTTAACAGCCATCTTGGTGGTAAATGTTTCACTGAAGACGGGGTTGAAATGGAGGTGCAGAAGTGGCTGAGAATGCTCTGGGTTTCAACTCACTGACAAAGCAACTGGAACAAGTATATCAATGTTGAGGGAAGATATGTCGAGAAATAAATGTTTTTTCCAGGTTCGAATATCACATATTTTATGTTTTATATCCATTTGTGACCTGTTCACTAACTCTCCTTCATAACAGTCCTGGATATAATGTACAAAACAGTGGTGTATAGTTGTGAATTTTTAGAGATGCTGGGTCAGTAAGAAGGTTTTGGAGTTAGAAAAATATTTAAAATAAAAAAGAATCCCAATATAAAAACCTCAGTGTAATCACATTGTGTGTTTCTCTGTTCATTGCATGTATTGGTTATGTGTCCTGTGGCATACTTTTGTGAACACCACTTTGTTATAGTGGACATCTGCAATGATGGAAACCCAGTCTGCCATATTACTCCATTGTATGAAGGTTTACTGTATATTGTAGTGATACAAACAGTTCTTACATTCAATGAATATGGAGCCAGGTGAATACCAACACATCGTTTTAAGTAAGATACTAAACTTCGTTCGAAGTGTAGAAATGCTGAAGGGTTGAAACAGGGGTGTACAATAGATCACAGTGGTTTTGGTGCAAGGACTAGTCAAGGCCTGCCCCTTATTCATTCATTCAAAATTCAATGAATTCACTTTTGACAAAATGGAGAAAACACCTTCTCGGGGTTGTTTTGAAATCTGAGCACTGCGGACATGCGTTCTCCCCTACGAGAGTGGATATATTCGCATTTAATCCCTGTACATCAACTTAAAGTGAAAGGGCATGAGATTCATCTCTTGGTGAATGGTACCAGGATTTTATTCACATCATGGTTGAGAAAGTACTCTTGTATAAGTAGGTACTCCCAAAAGAAGGAAGCATTACCACATATTTTGGTGAATGGAAAGTTGCTCTTGCGGGCCGCACAGAACCAACTTTGGTCTGCATGTGGCCTATGGTGTTGCAAATTGGACAGCCCTGCCCTTTATAATAATAAGCTTTATTTCATTTTCCTTCATTTATGAATGTATATTATTATTTTTTTTCTGGAATGTTACTGTTATCACACTTTTTTTTTTCATTCTGAAATAATGCATTGTATTTTAGTGTTAAAATACTGTAGTTCTTATAGCCTGTTTGAAAATATGGGGTCTGAACCTAGGAGCATGTCACTTTTCTTTCTCTACCATATTTAATTAAAAGTGAGTAAAATATATCTTTGCAGTGTTGCATTTTAAATCTTGCCCAGTTTGAATCTGTTGGGAAGGGGGGCAATGATTATCCAAATTATGGCTTTTGTTATTTTTCTCAGTCCCTCCATACAATTGCTGCAATAGTATCTGTAATTAGGCTGTGACCAATTCCTTCCACATCCTTACTGATTCATTATTCTCACATCTTCATGCATGTGGAGGTCTTTGGAGATTGAATCAAATATTGATTTTCTGGTCTCAGACTCCGAGAATTTTGAGATAACTGCTTTTTCTTAACACAGTAATACTCAATCTACCTGATCTGTCAGAATCACAATGGTTGGCAAAGCTGGCATGAATCAGTTGGTCAGTGGAATCTCTCCCTTAAGAGCCATGGTGAAATTAACATGACCTTAGAATTGAATATTTTAAATAAAGTGATTTATGAAAAATTCTCTGTAAAAAAGCATCTGATATCAAAAGGGGTAAATAGTACCAGTGCATTATGAAAGGGTGGTTAGCTTTACAACTTATGAATACAGTGTAAAAAATCGGTCTAGCAGAGACAGTTCTGATCTCAGTGCTGATAATGTGTTTCAAGTTTTCATCTCAGATTGAAAAAGTCAATTTTGTGCATGCATAATTGAAATATTTTAACTTGCGTCTGTTAGTAATCACCAGGGCCCGGATTTTGATGACATGTCATCTTTTTTTTCCTTGTATCCTATGCAATGCTCTTAAATATATAAATCTTGGATATAAGCTGCTGGTTACAGAAATGTAATTTTTTGTAATTTTTTGACATTTTTAGGTTTAAGGTCATTTTTTTTTCATTTTGGGGGTAATTTTTTGGTAAATTTTTGGACTTTTAACGGTATTTATTGTCATTTTTCGCCATTTTAGGGAATTTTTCTTCACATGTTTTCTGAAAGGTGAATAACGTGGAAGCGAAGTGTTCTTTCTTGTCTCCTTTAGGTCATTTTTATTGATTTTTTCGGTCATTTTTTTAAATATTTCAGGTATCAAAATCTGGGCCCTGCTAATAACTCAAGTTAGTCTCATATGTGAAAGTAACAGTGGTCAAACCTGTAAACAGTTGACAGCTACAGTGTTATTCCAACAGTTCCTACATGGTTTGTTCTTTGTTCCTCCTCAACATATCCCAGAAAACTTTCAGGTTTATTGCATGGCTGTGTTTGTTCTACATTGTCTGTATATTTCTCAAAAGATTTCAGTACCATATGGAGCTATAAGAAGGTAGCAATTATGATGTATTTAATGTTTCAAGGAATTGAATTGTAAGTGACTACTGAACAGGTTAAGAAAATTATGAACAGCATTCTAGTCTTTACAGAATTTGGAAACAGTTTAAGAATAAATAATCTTTCAAGTAGAAATATTTCTTGAAGTCACATAATTGAAAACTTGAGGATATAAATATTTGGAACTACTGATGTTAATAATGTAGATATATTCTGTATACAGGGCCAGCAAGAGTGTTAGAATCTACACTACATATGTTGGCAGATCGAATATGGGTACCACAGATGTGGAAGCTGGTTCCTCCATGTTCCTGCGTATGGGGTCAGCCGCTCTTTATGGGGCTGCTAGTTTCCTCATTACTGTGGTCAACAAGACTGTACTCACTACCTACCATTTTCCATCTTACCAAGTCTTGGGTATGGGGCAGATGGCAGCCACGGTTGTGATACTGTATATTTCCAAGAGACTTGGATTGCTTTCATTCCCTCATCTTGACTCTTCTGTCTTCCGAAAGATCTGGCCACTTCCATTTATCTATATGGGAAATCTGGTATCTGGTCTTGGTGGAACAAAGGTAATGTATATATTGTTTATACTAGTGTATCACCCTTCGAGAATTCATGCCCAGATTGCATAAGCTTTTGTACTGTTAACTTACCCTGTTTTCTCCCATATTCCTATCCAGTCATACATGTTACCAAATGATGCACGGAGGTTATGTTCAGTGCCATCTATGAATGTCACGTGTGTATAGTGAATTGTAGACCATCTGCTAGCATATGGCACTTCACATATCTACATCAAAATATTGTCACGGTTTTGGGGTTACTATAGATGGGGTATGGATTGGTGAATAGATTTATGGACCACTTATGGGTCATAACTACAGATAACTATAAAACTCACTGATTTTCACACCTTACAAGTCACTACATGCTAAATCTTCTCCAGCCTGCAGTGGCTTCACTAGTCGTTGCTTGGTAACAGCTGTCAGTAGCGGAGATTCTTCAGCTCCTGGGCTCATTTCGTTACTGTCCGCCGAATATCCCATAACTGTGCTGTCAACTCAACTATAGTGCTGTCTCTTCTCAGCCTCCATTGCAGAATTCTCTGACTCATTGGTCAAACTGTTCTGGTTATAACTTCTTGGCTTGGACCACATAGAAAACACCATTCTTTTGTTGCATGTGTATTTGTTGCTGCAGGAATGTGTTTACCGAGCTGTTGTCCAGAAACGGTTGTTGTCTATTCCCCCGTGTACAATATTATTGGTTCTCACAAGACATTGAACCAAAATATTGTTTACTCATTCATAATGTACTGCATGGCATTTGTGTGGAACATGTTAATACCTGATGATCCATTTCTGTGGTAACTGGAAATTACATAATTTCAGATCTTTCATCTCACTGTTACATTACTTTCATACATATGTAAGGTGACAGTGAATAATCATAAAAGGTACTGGTAGTTTTGGAAAAACAGCTACAGTTGTACCACTATTTTATAGGAGGAACTGTCTCTGCCTTCAAACTATAATGATGGCTGTCTTCTGGGATGTGATGCTGGAACATTAGTAACATTATACCAGCTTATATGGGGCATGCGGTAGCATAGCTGGTTGAGGCCCTTTGCTACAAGCTGGAAGGTCGCTGGATCGAATCCCGATGAGGTCATTGGATTTTTTTTTCAATTTACCTAATCCTTCCAACCACACTATGGCCCTAAGGTTGGCTCGATCTCTAGCAGAAATGAGTACCAGGAATATTCTTGGGGATAAAGGGTGGTTAGCGCGTAAGGCTGACAACCATGCCACCATCTATGAGCCGATTGTCTAGAAAGTGTGGGAACCTCCACGGCCTGTTACAGTGATACTTTTATTTTACTTACTTTACTACCAGGTTATATGGAGTCGAAGTCCAGAAATCTTCATATTCTTATCCAGGCTTGCACAAGAACCTGATGCCAGGTCACGGTGACACCTAAAATTCTCATGATAGCATTCAGAATATTCTTTCTGCATGTGGACAAATGAGAGTTGACAATAAAATTAATTTCTTTCTTCCTGTATTTATCCCTTCCCTATCTTCATCTCCGTTATTGCTTTCCCATCACTTATGTTTGTCCAGCCTATCATTTTCTGTATCCTCACAAGGGCATGTTGGATTTTCCCCAAGCATGAAGGGAGCTGCTTGTTCATTGGTAGTTGTTTCAGTTGTAATTGTGTTCAGTATTCAGTATTCAGTATAGAGGGGGTGGGTTTCCCCATGCACCGCGACTAATAGTCTATTGTACGTCCCCCTTTAATTTCTACTGTTGCCATACCCTACCGATACTGGTGCCCGCTATCTCCCCTTTCTGCCAGCGAGGTCAGCCCTCTACTGGCATTGGTACCCGATAACTTCCCCATCTACCGGAGGCATTGGAAACTACTTGGGCGGGAAACTTTTTGCCTAATTTTTCTCAGAGGTCTGTAATTGTGTTAATTGAATGAGCAAATTTCTCATCCAAGGTGTTTTGTTTTTCATTCTGACATATAGATTTTTAGGAATTTTATGGAGTTCTCATGTTTTGGTTTATAGATGTAATAAGTAGAACAGTGCATCCGGATATAACAATTCTGGTTGTATTCCAGAAGTTTTGTATGAGTTGGATTATTTGTCTGTAAATGTGGTACTGTTTAGTGTTGTAAAATGGACAGTTGAGCTTGTTCACTGTTAATCCTTTCCATAAGAAACTCCTAGGCCTGTTTGGGTGTAAATGTAGTTGCACAGAAAACCCCGTAATACTTCCTCAGATCGCTTTCAAACCACCACATGTGTAGATGTCAAGAAAGACAGTTCTTTTTTCTAAACATCAGTATATCAAACTTGATGGCATCTGTTGACAGAAATGCTGCACTAAGTTGTTCTCTTCTCTGACAGATGTAATGCAAGTACATAAGCTGATTTAATGGGCTCATGATATGCAGAGGAGTAAGCACAATTATGTCATTTCCAGGAACTAAGTCTGCCCATGCTGACAGTGTTAAGGAGGTTTTCAATCTTAATGACAATGATGGGAGAACTGTATTTTCTGGGTACGCGGCCAACTGCAGCAGTACAATTGTCAGTGTACACAATGATTGCTGGTAAGTGGAACTGAGTTATCATACATTTTTCACAGTACAATAGAAACCTAACAGAGAATAAGTTACATGAGGCTGGCGAAAGTTTTGTGACAAAGATTTTTATTATTACGCCTTAAACCAAATATAAGGATGATAAAATCAATGATGGTAAGAAGGGTGGAGTGGTATAAAGGTTTCTGACAAAGGAGTGTTAATAAACTGGCATACATGTTGAAAGATTGCCCTTGTGTCGTTTTTGGTTGAAGAAAAAAATTAAAGTAAAGGTATCCCTGTAACAGGCCGTAGAGACCCATAGGATTGTGTGACCTTGAGGCTCCCACATTTTCTGGACAGTTGGTTCATAGATGGCGGTAAGGTTGTCAGCCTTACGCGCCTGCTGCCCTTTACCCCCCAGGAAGATTCCTGGTACTCATTTCTGTTAAGAGGCTGAGTTGACCCCAGGGCCATAGTGCAGCTGGAAGGATTAAGTGAATTGAAAAAATCCACCTCATCGGGATTCGATCCTGTGACCTTCTGGCATGTAGCATGGTGCCTCAAGCAACTACGCTACCACACATCCCCCTCATTTTTGGATATAGAACATATTTCAGTACCTGGCTGTGCTCCCATTATTTAATCGGTGCAGTGGCTGAGAATAAAATACAAGCATATGAAACACGGTAACTGGGATGAAATAAAACGAATAAAATTTGACAATTAATTTCTTAACAATAGGTAAAAGTTCACGTCACACCTTTCACCTTGTGACGGCACACCAGTTGCAGAACACTGTTCTAGACAGTCGGCTCATAGATGGCACAAGGTTGTCAGCCTTACGTGCCGGCCATCCTTTACCCCCATGACTATTACAAGAATATTCCTGGTACTCATTTCTGGTAGAGGCTGAGTCAACCCCAAAGCCATAGTGCGGCTGGAAGGATTAGGTCAACTGAAAATAGCCAATGACCTCATCAGGACTTGAACCCATGACCTTCCAGCTTGTAGCATAGTGCCTCAACCAACTACGCTACTGCTTGCCCCCTCTTGAGAGTTGTTTGTAGATTATTTAATTACAGTGTATCAGCTGTAGGTATTATTAAGCGTGGATGAATGAAAGAAAGTCTTGTAAATGTTAGAGATGATAACCAGAGTCTCTAGTTTACTGTACTTCCCTCTGTATTTGTTTGATAGAACTGAGTAAAAGCATCATAAACCTCTAGTCAGGAGATCAGATGTTGCAGTATAGTGTTTGTCACTCCTGCTTTTTGTTTGGGGCATTAGAGGTTCATATGATCGCCCCCCCCCCCGACCCCCCAATCAATCACTGTAGACAAATATTGAGATAGTACCTCAAATTAATCCACGACCCCTTTTTTCTACATCCTTCCCAATTAATTATTCACTACTTATCCTATCATTCTGTGGTGTTTAGTATGATCTACTGACAGTGGCATTACATAAAAGACTCCGTGGCGTGTAGTCCGCAAGCAAACTATACTGACTGACCGACCGCTCCTTGTCGTCGAAGTTAGTGCCAACGTTTGTGGATAGAGGTTGTCACATTGTCAGCACAACGGATCCCCACGGCCGTTAATTTCGGTTTTCTAGACAGGAGCCTCTACTTTTCCATTCAAGTAGCTTCCCAGTTATCCTCACGAAGCTGAGTGGACTCTGTTCCAGACCCACTACTTCTCAGAAAATCTGGTAGTACTGGGAATCGAACCCAGGACCTCCGGATCTGTAGCCAAGAACTCTGACCACTAGACCGCCGATGGGTGGAATTACATAAACTGTAAGTAATTAAGTGATAGTCATCTGGAGTGTGATATCTTGTAATGTAGTGGATTGTTACCAGTGTAACAGCAGGACGTTCCTAGTGTTCTACCAGTCTACATAGCTTCACATCCTGTATGACTAATCTTCAAAGTCACTACTGTGAGAACCTCAGATCTTGTGAAATAAAAACTGACTGAACCAGCCAGCCCTATCTTAAGTGTCACTTTTGTAATGCCACGTCTTAATGTGCCTGAGATTAGATTCCCAGAATGGATTCCATCCACTTCTGAAACTGTTAGTCACATCTTAAAGTTGCGCTGTAGATGTTGGGATTGTAATGATGGTCTTGTATTTTAGGTGCGATGATTGCAGCTAGTAATGATTTAGCATACAGTCCACTTGGATACTCACTAGTGCTAGTAAATGATGCCTTCACAGCGGCCAATGGAGTGTGCATGAAATCAAAGTTGGATTCCGCAGAGCTCGGTAAACATGGACTTATGTTCTACAATGCATTGTTTATGCTGCTCCCTGCAACTGGTTTGGCCTGGTTCACAGGAGATCTGGATCGTGCTTATGCCTATACTGGCTGGGACAACATCTTCTTCCTGGCACAGTTTGCTGGATCTTGTGTCATGGGATGTTTACTCACGTACACAATCATACTTTGCACAATGCATAACTCTGCGCTCACAACGACAGTCATTGGTTGTCTGAAGAATGTCTGTATTACCTATTTTGGTATGGTCATTGGTGGTGATTATGTATTCTCATGGGTGAACTTCGCTGGTATTAATGTTAGTGTTATGGGAAGTCTACTGTATTCATGGGTCACATTCAAACGACCAGACAAGCCAGTGCCAAAAGAAACTCTTACTGTTTAGCACTTGAAGTACAATTAGGAAAAGAGGAAATGTGTGTGAAATATAAGCTACTATATTTCCCACTATTTCACCTCAAAAATCCTAAAATCATTCAGCATGTTACACAGCACAGGTGTATGATGTATATAGAGTGAGTTTCAGAAATGTGAGTCATAAGGTGGATATTTGTGTGTGAGTGAGAGAGAGAATTGATGATGAATGTGTGAAAGATAGCAAAAAGTAAAACAATATTCCGTTATTAATTCAGAAAATTTATTAATGTGAGCTGATAACAGTGTCCAGGGTTTGGAGCTGCATGACCAGGGAATCAGGGCTTGAATCCCAGTAGTAGGCAAGTGATTTTTCTGTTCTCCACATCTGCCAGACCTGGTGTGGGACCCACCCAACCTTGACTACCAGGGTTTGTTTGCTGCAGATAAAGTGGCCAAGGCACAACATGGTTGCCAGTCACCTCCATCTAATGTTGAGGTTAAGAATGTATGGAGCTGTACTGTCACTCCCTCATACATCATTCATTAAGTGATTCTCAGGGTTGAATGCAGTATTGATAGTGAGCATTTTCATATTCTTGGAGTATCCATTTTTTAATTATCTACCCTGCTTCTCCCTTTCTTTGCTGTGGATAATCCAAAGTTCACTGTATTTTTAAAATCAGAGTTGGAATTTCCATTTTGACCCAAAAATATTTTTGCATTTTAATTTCTATATGATTCATAAGGAGGTTTGCCTATTTCAGAATGGTTCTTCCTGCAATATTAGGACTATATTTGTTTTAATATCACCTATAAAATCTTAAATAAATGTTGATGTTTTATGGAGATATTTTATATTGCATAAACTGTTGCCATGTTCTGATAGCTATGTAACAACTGACATATTCAAAAACAGAACAACCCAGTGTCTGACTAACATGAATTCCTTCAGTGTGAATTGAGTTTAATGTGGTTTTTCAAGTGGAATGGGTTTATGGGTAACACAACTGTTTTTTTTTTTTGGTTTAAGACGTTTTCCCCATTATGATACATTATTTCAAAAGGAAATTTGTGTCTGTCTAAAACAATTTCACCTTACACAGAATTTTTCAAGAACACATCTATTGTGTTAGTTGGAGACTGGGTGTATTAAATTTCTTAACCTAAGCATATAATGGGTGAAAAGTTAGATCCATAGTTTCTGAGTGCAACTCTGAATGTTTCAAGGTAGACAAGTTTGTGTATGTGCTTTTTCTTGGAATGTTTGTATGCTCTATTGTGGTATGTGTTTATTCTCCGTGCTAGGATATTAGTGATTGAATCTGGTAACTGGAAGTTCACCCATTGTATTTTTACATGGTGGGAACAAAATGTAAGGATTATTACCATTTAATGTGCTACTGAAGACAGGATCTTGCCAGACTGTATCAATCTGATTGCTCAAGAATATCAGCATACTAAAGAGGACATTATACATATTCAGTAAAGTTTGTGCCATTTCCAGTTATTAATGCTGTTGTAGGAAATAAGATTGACATTTGTTTTAGAGGAACACTTGTATTGAGATTGTGACATATCTGTTAAACTATTTGAATAATTAGATTTCTTTCTTAAAACTGACATAAAGTGTATAGACTGTGTAATATATAATTGGCAGAATATTGTATACTCCTTATTAAAAGACATATGCATATAGAAAAAAAAATGTGCATGAAAGTGAAATGTATGAATACAGAATCTCTTAGGAATGAATGAGTCAAATTTTTAGTTATCCAGTGTAGCTGCAATTTGTATTCCAAGTGTATGAAACATCCAAACAGCAGTTTGTAATCAAATGCAGAACCTCAAAAGTTGCTGCAAAGAAAGAAAATCACAGTTCTTTCTTATTTACTTACTCTCTCCTTTACTATACCATCCTCTAAGTACCTGCTATTTGCCTTTTGTTTCCATCCCTTCACCTTCATCTCTTCTGACTCACTGTCTGCATCTTCTAGCCATCTCATTCTGGCCTTCCCAGTTTTGTTTCACCCTTAGGCTTTAAAGAGCCTGTTCTTAGTAAGTTGAACATATTCCAAGTAGCAGCATATAACTTTTCCTTAGTTTCCTTAATTATCCAAGCAGCATCCATAATTATGTTTTGTAACATTTCCAAGGTGAAATTGCTGGCCTTAAGACCCATCCCGCAGTCTGGAGAACCAGTGGTTACCCCTGACGATCTGTACCCTGAAATTTGTTTAGCTTTGGTGACCCAACTTGGAGCTTATGCTTCCAGTGGCATAGGGCTGCGGGTGACAGAACTTCAATTCCAGCAATATTGTGTACTGCATAGAAAGTGGCAACGTATTTTTATTATTATTATTATTATTGTATTTGTTGTTGTAGTAAAGTGTAACTACCAGGGTAGCTGAATAAGTTTAATGATTAAGCTATGGACTGCATGACTGGGAAATAGGGGTTCAGTTCCTGGTATGGTATTTTCTCTTCTCCACAGCATGAAGACCAGCTTTGGGACCCACTCAGTTCTTGTCCCTTCAGTACCAAGGGCTTTTTCTCTGCAGGTAAATTGATCAAGGTGTGTGAAGCTGACCACTCACCTGCACCTAGTGCAGAGGTTAGAAACGCATAGAGCTATACTTCCACACCCTCATGTATTTTGTTAGAGGGTACAGAGACAGCTTATGTAGCAGTATATGACAGTATGTTCTAAATCTCATATATGTTCAACTGATTTAAAATGTGCCATATCATTTTGATCCTTGTTATAAAGTGTATGTCACAATTGGTGCAGCAGTGAGTAACATGGTGTATATTTGACCAGGGATCCAGTTCTTTATATCTCTGCCATGGATGCTTCATGGTCTAGCATTGGTTCCTTAAAGAGCAGTGAATAACACTGCTTTTATGTTCAAGAATAAAACGTTTAATATGCAGGATACATTAATGAATATCATTGGATACTTAAAGCGAACATCCATTTTCCTAGAACAGTAGGGTTAGTAACACGTGTGCGTGTATGTGAAAGATTTGTCAGATTACAGTGCATGAACAGACCAAGTTTAGGGGGATATATTGTATGTTTCAGTTGTTGAAATGGCACCCAAGAAGGCTCCCACACATGAAATAAAGCAAAAACACGTTTTTACTTTGATACAGTAAATGGAAATATGTACAAGACTGTTAAAGCATTAAATAATATAAAGAAAGGGTTTCTGTAAGAGCTTTGTTTATGCAACTGCCAGATTCATGTAACTGGAATATATATTCCCTATTCATGCCAGATGGCTGGAGCTGGACAGATGAGCATCTGATGTTTTGTGTATATATTTTAAATTGTAGCAAAAATACATTAAAATAATGTTCTGTGTAGCCCCCTTTGAACAATTATAGATACGTATTCAAACATTTTTGCCCCTAAATTTTAATGCCATCATTATAAGCTCCTGGTCTCAACTCAGATCAGAGCATTTTCCTCCGGATCATGTTTTCATACAGTAGTTTTGGTATGGATTATGGTTTCCTCCATGCATGCTACATGATTAGCACATCAAAACATTTCATATTTGAAAGTTTGAATATTGGGTGAAGGTTACAAACTGAACTTGTTTCAGTGCAATTTATATTTGGCATTGTCCATTTAGGTATGTTTAATAAGAAACGCGGTTTTAGGAGTTGTAAGCAGCAGTAATTTGCAACATACCCAGAACCCATTGGGTCTAAACTTGCATTCCAATCGTTAGTGTCATCCATGGATAATAACCGCAGTTAAGGTATGATGGACGTTCCCATTGACAGTAAATGTTTAGAAAAAGGTTCGTTGCCCTTGTTCTGCTGAAATTCAAGGAAAATACATTCTCAGCATTTTATGGAGCCCAAAAATACATTTCCGTGTTCACAATAACTCTCACAAAACACACGTGGATACGAATTTTTATTATTGTTTATTTGTTTACTTTTGCTATTAATTCAGTGTTCTGAAGTAAAAAAAAGGAAGTGTTTGGTACGCTTTTATTACAGAATAGTGTTTACCTTCGACCGAATACTGCCAGGCGAACAGTAATTGTATGCACGTTACGCGCTGTTTGTAATTGAACATGCCCTTGGAAAGGATAAATGGAAGGACGTGAAATTGTGAAGCTTATAATTTTATACCTCCTGTTATGTGCATAATTGATTGCTTTAGAGGTTTTCATTTAGTAATCTGGAATCTTCTTTGCTTACAATATTATCCCATTGATCGTGTTAAGTGCGGTTATGTTCGTTGACTAGCAAGTGAAATGGGTGGTGGTTTTAGACGTGTCATGATGATCAGGGCTCAATTACAATTGTAATAGTGTGATTCATGCTTCAAACGATTTTGTGGTTATGGCTTTTTTGTGAATACAGACTTATACTTAAAAGCGAAGGTTATTTACAAAGTATTAAAATGTATAGCTCAATTACAATTATAATAGTGTGATTCACGCTTCAGACGAGTATAGTGGTAATGGCTGTTTTGTCATTACAGAGTTAAAAGCGGAAGTTATTTAAAAAGTATTTAAAAATGTATAGCTTCGAGGGTGAGTTCCGTCGAAGACCGCAACAAAATTTGTCAGGTGCAAGCAAGAAGCAGGAACGAAATGAGTTACTACAAAGAGCACAAAATGAACGGCAAAAAAGAGAGGTTAGTGGTTGTTGCTTTCAACGTTTACTTGATAGAGACTTATATTGTCACTTATGAGTTATTACAGGTAATCATCCTGAGTGTTCCAAAATAACAAGTTATTATACTTCCTTAAACTTTCGCTGTAATTACAGTGGCAAGTAGGACATTTTATTACACCAAGTGACACCTAAGACTTACATGAAACAGGTGATATTTGCTATAACTCTTATGGTGGGAAGCGTAGCGTGAATATTTTCGTTTCCTTGTACTACAAACTTTACATCTAGTCACCACCCATCCCTCCAGCCCTCATATCAAACTAAAGTGAAAGATTGTCTTTAAATTTCCTTGTGATGGAAAAATTCAAATGCTGCAGTGATGCCTAGGCTTCGTGTAGATTTTAATATGCTTTACACAATACCTATTAGTAAATGCTTAATTTTGAAATTATATAAACTGAAACTATTAAGAAGAGTTCTGTTTTCTGGGATATAACACTGTGTAGCCTGTTGAAAGTCAACTGACATTTCAGAGATCATGTCACCTCCATCTTTGCCATCGAAGAATAAGATGAGTAAGAAACCAGCATGAAAGGGGGTGGCTCTGCTTGCCTCCTGCCTTTGTGCTGGTTTCTTGCTTGGCTTCTCAAACACATCAGTTGACTTTCAGCAGACCACTTGGCATTGTATCCCAGAAGATGGAATGTATCATAACCACTGCTGTAAAAAAATAAATCCTAATGAAATTCTTGAGGTTTTGAAGAATGATTAACTGTGTTCCCAATCATTATTTTCATTGTGTTGTTGCTTATAGGTCCAAATTTTGGTTTAAACTAAATTTGCAATTCTGTGATTGATTCTTTTCAAGTTGATAGAAATTAATAAGAATTTTGACTGTAGTCTCTTTTAGTTACATTTTTACATATGGTGAAACAGTGTAGCACTTTTCAGAACTGCCAGGCCCTCCACACATTAAAGCAGTATTTTCTGTAGCTTGAAAGCATGGAGACATCTGGAGAATCACAGAAAACTGTTTTCGGAATTTTGTTGTGTGTACTGGGATTGACCAAATGAGAGGCCTTAAGTTCTTTTTTCTTTTTTGTCTCATGAAACAACTGTTTTCTTCAGGATACAATTGTATGATAAAATACTTTTGTCTGAGATATATTGGCAATAATTCCAGGAATTGCGTAGAAGATACAACAGCACAATCCTCATCCAGGCATTTGTGCGAGGTTACTTAACCAGACAGCATTACAAGAAAATGCAGAGAGTGGCATTCGATGAGACTGTGCAGCGCAACAGTTATGTTGGGCAGCCTCCTGATGAACAAACCCTGACTTTGCTTATTCAAAGGTTGCTCTTCTTTTATTCTGAAGAGGAGGATGCAAGCAGACTTGTATGTTTATTAATGTTAATGAGTGTGATTATAGTTACATACATGGTTCAGTGCTGTCCAGTACAAAGATGAAGAGTATGCTCTGAGTTCTAATGCCACATAGTTCGGCAGACGTCCACTGACATCACACCTCCGTCTTCCAGGGTCAGAGACTAAGTCAAGTAAGCGGAGCTCTGCCTGCCCCTGCTTCTTACTGGTTTCTTGCTTGGCTTGTTCTTTGACCATGGCAATGGAGGCAGTACATTCCTCCAAAACAGTTCAGTAAACATGTTCCCAGGCCATTGGTAGGCAACAGCTCTAAACATTTTTGCAGGTCATTGCTAAGCAGTGGCTTGGTAAACATGTTCTCGTGGCAATGAATACACAGTACAAGAACTGTAGGCTGCAGTTTTTCTGTATGGTCTGTTTTGTGTTGTTGTATATGGAGGCAATAAAAAAGGAAATTTGGTTAATAGGAAGACCAAGTCAAAATTTAAGGCATAGACTGTACAAAAAGGAAATATTGTAGCCTGGACTTTCACGGATGTATTTACATTATTTCCAAATTTATCTAGCTTTCCTAGCCGGAAGGCAAACTTTCGAGGCAGTACGTGACCGATTTCGAATAACATCCTACCACCACATTGGGAAAAGTCCAAGAACTAGGCCAATGTACAAAGTAAGCAATACCCATACACATATCCTCGAATAGAGATGTGTCGTCACGAGGAGAAAGTTCTGCCAGAGGTTCCTGGAGAAACTACCCCTAAGAAACATATATAAACTCACTAAAATAACCTGATCGACAGCTTTCTGATCAGTCTTAGAGTCGGGGACTCTGTGCTGCTTAGAGACTCGGCCGTGCCATTGGCCTTAGGCAATTACCTGTTTCTATATTGTACTTATGTATTTTGTGTAATAAGCACCTTGTTTCAAGCTAATTCTTCGTCAGTCAACTTCATCACAGAAAGGAACGGAACTATGGCTCCCGCTCGGCCAAGCACTCCGCCGTCCAACCTTAGGGATACGACAGTGTTAGGTACTCAGTAAGTAGTGAAAGGAAAGTAGGTGATTAGATCTTTCCAGACCTTATTGCTTTGTAAGTTGAACACTATTAATTATTGTTATAAATCAGTGTGATCTAGTCTTAGTTACAGTATGCGCCCAAATATGCAGTACTGAAACTTGCGCATCTCGAACGCGCATGTGCATTTGTCGACGGGGCATAGCTCCAGCCATGTGTGTTCCCAGTAGTGAAAAGGTAGTTGTGTTGTGCAGCTGTTGGAAATGGGTCTCTTGACGGGGGGAAAAAGTATTCATAGTTGAGTATTATTTCTGCTCATACAGAAGTGGTCGCCAGACATCTTGCTTCCTTGGTTTTGAGCGGCCAGATGTTATCGTCCAGAAACCGCTACATAGTACATGCGTGACGATATGGTGTTCCATCTCAGCACACAGTATATTAGACCCCTATTTCATTGAGGATGAGGAAGGCAATGCTCTTACTGTCACCCAAGAACGCTACAGGAACATGGTGATCAGACCATTTCTTCAGGATTTGAGAAGGTTATGTCATGCAAGGGGCCTTCACATGAATAGACAGTGGTATCAACAGGATGTCTTTTCATTTCAGTACTGTATATTTAGGCGCATACTGTATTTAAGTTTATAATACTATATTTGGGTCAGAAAGACTGAACATGAGTAGCTTAATCGGCTGCCTTCTTTCTCACACTGCCTGCACTGAACATTTCCCCTTCCTCACTAGCAATCAGGTCTCACCTCCCTATCTTAGGTTGGGAAGGAATTTCTTGTAGGGTAAAAGGTAGAGTTGTCCCTGTGCTTAATTATGTATCATGCCAAGGAGATGTATGGGGAACAGGGCATAGCTCCACATATTCTTAACCTCGCCACTTAATGGAGGTGAGTTCTCAACTGCACACCCCAGCTGCTTCACGCTTTGAGAATGAGCTCTCTGTACCCATTTGATTGGAGGCTATTTAGGCCCCAGAGCTGGTCTGGATGTTGTGAAGAGAAAAATATGTTCCCCATCAAGGAAGAAAATCCCAGTTCCTTGGTTGTCCAGCCTGTAGTCTGGTCACTATACTAGCTCCAAAGCATTCAATGTTATAATTATTGCTGTCATTGACTTCGGTAAAGTATAAAAGATGTAGTAATGTAATTATTTGTGTTAATAAAGTTTAGTGACATGTTCAGGAAGTTGAAATTCATTATATACCCAGATATCAGAATACAGACCAAGAACACAGAGAGGGGGCATGTAGATGGAATGAAAGCCACACTACAATTGGTGGGAGTGAGGGAAGATGAGCAAAAGGGAGACAGCTGCTAGGCAGAAGGTTGCTGGAGATTCTGTGTTCATTCCTTCCCTCACCCAACTTCAGCCGTGTAACATTTTGTGATAATGTGGTGTCTTCTGTATTTGAGGTATGGATATCACAGCTGCTACTAAGACAACATGAACATATCATGGTAGCGGCAGAACGTCCAGGTGAAGCCTGGGCGTGGCGCCTGTGCCGTCTGTTGCATATGAATGTTGCTCACATGTCAGCTGCCACGCGGCAAACAAACAGCAGGGAATCATTGGCCGTTCCTCTTCGAACTGTTGAAGTTTTCACATCTTGGGAAATATGCCAGCGCATTCTGGGAGAGTCGAAGGTACTTAAACTCTGCCGGATTGAAATGTTTTAAATATTAACCATCCATCAAAATTTTACTTCAAAAGCTATGCAGAATGTTTAATACATTATTTGAAAAATTTATGTCTCCCAGCCAATTTTGAAGTCGGTTTTAGGTTGTAAATCGGAATTTATGGGACGAAATTATGACACCAGCTTTCCTTCAAGTGCTACAGTCTTTACTGTGAGGCTGGCAAGACTAACAGCCTATCTAAATGGGAGTCTATTTTGAGAAGCACATAGTTGCTCTGAATGGGAGTCCTTGAGACGCACATAGTTGTTCAGCTAGTCAAGAGATTCCCACCTAAGGGATCATAACCATGTTCACAAAAATCCTGCCATTGGTCCTGGTCCTCAACCAGGTCATTCTAGTCCACATCCCCCCCCCATCCTGTTTCTTCAAGTTCCATTTTAATAGTATCCTCCCATTTACTTTGCATTTGTAACTGATCTCTTTCTTTAACATTTTCCTATCAGAACTTTTGTATGTGATTTTCTTCGCTTCAGTGCATGCTACATTCCCTACCCATCACATCCTCCTCGATTTGATTGTCCTAATGATATTTGTCAAGGAGTACAAATTATGAAGCCTCTCATTTGTGGTCATGATTCTGTGCAGTCTGGTGGAAATTTACCAATTTTTCGAAGGAAAATACTGCCTCCATTTTCAGGGTCAAAGACTAAGTGAAGCAAGTATTAAGCAGAGTGCAGTGTTTTGTTTACTTCTTGCTTGCATGTTCGTCTTACTCTTTGACGCTGATGACAGATGCAATGTGTTCCTTCAGAACAGTTTTAAACTAGTATCATACTACAGAGTGTCACATTTCAGAAGATAGTACTTTTCATACCCATATTCTGGTTCAGTTATCTCTGGAATATCAGATGGACAGATGTATTTATTTCCTTGCAGGCTAGTACATATCTCACACATCTATTCACATATTTGGTGAACAAGGGATATTTTGGACAAGTACGTTGCCTTGTAGACAACAAGATTCCACCTCTTTTGGAAGCTTCATCTCACCCACCAACGCCATTGGCTGCTTGTCTTTTTGATATGATAACACGCCCACTACAATTGGTTATCACTTCACCGACCAGCAACTCAGAGTTCAGGTTAGTATCAGAATAAAGTTAAACACAGTGCATTAAATTACCATCTTTATATGAAGGATGCTGTCTTCTGGGATTGCTGCCGTGTAGGTATAGTATCTGACGTTTAGGAGGAACATATCACCTCCAACTTCAGGGTAGTCTGCAGCCACATGCTCACGCTGGTTCATCGCTCGTGTATTTTTTCTTTCATTTTCTTCTACCCTGAAGTTGGAGGTGATACATTCCTCCAAAACGCCTGTTTATACTATATCTACATGGCGCCACATCCCAGAAGACAGAATTCTTCATAGTCACTGCCGTGAAAACATCAAATCTTACCATCATTATATGTGCATTACTGCCAAAATATGTCATAGGTTGAAGATACAGTAGTTCCTTCTTTTCCCTCCCAAAATCTAAGTCTGTGTGTGTGTGTGTGTGACATTTCTCTGTTGCAGTGGTCTAATTCTTCGTGGTCTTTGCCAGCACATCCTGGCTCCACCACTTACTGAACCAGTCAAACTGTTTGTTATCCCAGCTTTAGTTGAACTTGCGTACTTCCCCTTCAGAGAGCTTCTGGAAACACTGAAGCTAAATGCCCACACTGTGCCTGCCTCCACCTGGCTGCTGTTTACCGTGCTGTCTCTGGAAAGGAAGCATTTTGGTAAGATATGTCACCTGGGTTTAAGGTTGCGTGCAGGTAACTTCTTTTCTGAATGAAATGTTGGGGACTGTCTTGTGGTTTTTGTCATGATAGGTGACTATGTACTTATGCACTAAGAGGTGACCCAAGTATCTTTAAGTTTCCTCCAAGTATTTCAGTTTCCCCTGCCAGTTCTCATTCCACCAAATGCTCCATAGTTGTCTGTCATTCAGGGCCAGTACAGTAGGCCAAATAATGGTGTATGTACAAAATGGACTCATTGTCGCCCCACCACAAACGACGACGACGACGACGACGACGACGACGACGACGACGACGACGACGACGACGACG